TATATATATATATATATATATATATATATATATATAGACGAAATTATACATATATTATCATAATTTTAAATATATGACATAAAAAAAAAATTGTAAAGTTATTCAGTGTATTTCCAACACTGTAACATCTTTCCATTACATTATCTTTATTATCTTTCATTTATTCTATCTTATTATTCTATCTTTCATTTATTCCATCTTATTAAGCTACACTCGTTAATAAATATTATTATTATTCTAAATTTCCAAACTTAACACTGCCGCAAACGGAGTCTCGAATTATTCTCTTACGATTTCTCTTACGATTCTTAGAATCATCCCTAGTCCGATTGTACCTCGCTTTCTGCTACACCGTGTGTAATCTTCAATCACGGAGAGAAATGCAATCGCGAAACGTTCTCTCGAAATCCAGTTTCGGTGGCCCGAGCGGGCGATGGTAGCAAATTGCTCGTATTTTCGAGGGAACATGGCCCGACCAAAAACTGAGCCTTGCATCCGGCCAACACCAGGCTAATTTCACCGCGGAGCCCCGTGGATCACGCGAGGAAGAGATTTGAACGGCGACGAGAAGAGAGTGAAAAGGCATATCGACGCGGCGGTCGGTGTGTGTTGTGTGTCGCTTGGCGCATTTCTGGTGCGTTACGTCGCGCGTGTTATGTCGGCCGAGGTGCACGAGACAGCTGAGATAAGTCCTCTCCCCAGCGAGGAATGGATCCACACGCGGCCACAGAGAGAAGAACAGGGCCGTATATGCACGCAGAAATGCACGCGCTCGTGTGCCTACCGAGCGCCTATGCACGACGCATGACCGTGAACTTGCCCCACCTAGTGCACCAGTCGGTCAGTCATCATTATTAACGCACACACGGCTCTGGTCGCGTTCGCACACACATGCACTACCGCCGATCCTTTACTCCTACGTGCACATGGCACACCGGAGAGACGAGAAATCCGGATACGTTTCGGTTCCTTTCCACTCCTTCTTGCTGGCCAGTGTCCAGAAAGCCAGATCGGTTTGCGTTTCTATCCATCTCTGGTCGTACATGTGTGTACAACTTTGATCTCGAAGAGCGCGAACGGAACAGCAACAGACAGATGTTTGGAACCTCGAAGTTTGAGGGAATTCTTCAGGGAGTAAAGTTCAGAAAGAAGCTCGAATGTCGTTGAACGTGGCTATGGGCTTCTAGTTGGAAGCTTCCGTGTGTGGTACCACTGTGTGGAACAGATCGTGGAATGCCAGAAGATCGCCACGGAGGACAAGCGGAGGCCAGTCGTGTCCAGTGTACGCACGCGATTCGCGTATTACTCGATTCGTTAATGTTCGTTCGTTTTGAAAATCGTTGACCGATGTCTTTGGAGATGAACTCCGTTTATTTCCAGTTACGTGCGTCGATTGTTATCGACCAACGTCAATCTGTACGGCGATCAAGTTTCCCTCTCTTCGTCAAACTGCCAGTCTTCTCGCCTTTTTTCACGGTCGCGGAGCGTGTTCGCGAACGGCCACCCTGTATGCACAGCCTGGTGCAGGGTTGTCGCGATAATACACGGAGCGCAATGTTAGTCACGTTTGTCTACTCATGGTCTGCAGGAGTCTTCTCTATGCGGGGTTGCCACGACTCTAGCCCGGCCTTCCTGGAAGCCTAGAGCAGTCCTAGGCATCCTTAATGTCAGTTTTTCCATCGAGGGTTTCTCGAACGGAAACCTCGCACGGAAGGTGGATCGCCGCCTCGTCGTGTGCATCGTTC